TTCATGAGTCTAACAGCCTCAGGGTAGAAGCCGCTTCTCAGTCTAGTGGTTCTACACTTAATGCTCCTCAACCTCCTTCCTGAGGGGAGTGGGGCAAAAAGTGTGTGTGCTGGGTGAGTGGGGTCCTTCATGATGCAGGTGGCCCTTTTCCTGCATCTAGAGGTGTAGATGTCTGTGATGGTGGGGAGGCTGACTCCGACAGACTTCTGTGCAGCCTTCACCACTCTCTGCAAAGCTTTTCTTTCTGCAGCTGTGCAGTCTCCATGCCACACGTTGATGCTGGAGCACAGGATGCTCTCCACTGCACACCTGTAGAAGGAGGTGAGGACTGAGCTTCCCAGTCCAGCTCGTCTCAGTCGTCTGAGGAAGTAGAGTCTCTGATGAGCTTTCTTGATCAGGCTGGTGGTGTTGTTGCTCCAGCTGAGGTTGTCATTCATGTGTACACCCAAGTACTTGTAGCTGGAGACAACTTCCACTGCAGATCCTCCTATGTTCAGGGGGGTGTAGGTGTTTTTGTTCCTTCTGAAGTCCACAATCATCTCCTTTGTTTTCTTCACATTTATGTGAAGGTTATTCTCTTTGCACCAGCTCTTAAGGTGTTCCACCTCTTGCCTGTAGCTGGACTCATCATTGTTTGTGATGCATCCCACCACTGCTGTATCATCTGCAAACATTACAATGTGACAGCCTGAATGGGTAGCTGCACAATCATATGTGAGCAGAGTAAACAGGAGGGGGCTCAACACACATCCCTGAGGAGAGCCAGTGCTGAGGGTTATGGTGGAGGAGAAGAAGTTGTGGATCCTCACTAACTGTGGTCTGTTTGTTAATAAGTTTATTGCCCAGTTGCAAATGGAGGGGCTTAGTCTTAATGTGAATAGTTTGTCCATCAGGGTTTGGGGGATCATGGTGTTGAAGGAAGATGTGAAGTCCACAAAGAGCATACGGACATAAGAGTTTTTCTGCTCCAGGTGGTTGAGCGCAGTGTGGACCACAGAGGAGATGGAATCCTCTGTTGATCGGTTCTCACAGTATGCGTACTGATGAGGGTCCTCATTGATGTTGATGATTGTTTTGATGTGGGTCATAAACAGTTTTTCGAAGCATATAGCGACTATTGGGGTGAGGGCCACTGGCCGGTAGTCATTCAGACCAGTCACTGTAGAGCTTTTTGGGACTGGGATGATGGTGGCAGTTTTCAAGCAGGTGGGAACTGTCTCCAGGTGTTAAAGTACATCATATATTACATAAATAACACCTACTGTAAACATCACCAGTCATATTCAATTTTTATGTATGAGAATGTTGGTTCCTTTCTTCTTTTTTGTTGGTTTTGCATTATCTAATCTTCTTGCAGTCCTATTTTCTTGTTTTTGTAATAAATTGAAATGTATTGTTTTACAGCTGGAAAGCCTGTGCTGAATGCATGTTTTAATCAATTAACATGTGTTGACCAAATTATAAGATACCCCCTCACACACACACAGTCACTAACAACTTAATCAAAATTTAAGTTTCTCCTATTGTAGCTCTTTTATTTTCCATTGTTACTGGCACTTCCCAGTCTAATTAGTAAATACCAGTAGAGATAACTACTTGTTCTATCCATCCATCCATCCATTATCTTTACCTGCTTATTCCATTTTTGGGTCACGGGGGTCGCTGGTGCCCATGTCCAGCAATCACTGTGCGAGGGGCGGGGTCCACCCTGGACGGGTCGCAAGTCCATCACAGGGACACATAGAGACAAACGAGACAAACAACCATTCACTCTCTCACTCACACCTAGGGACAATTTAAGCGTTACCAATCAGCCTAACATGCTTTTTTTTGGTCTGTGGGAGGAAACCGGAGCACCCGGAGAAAACCCACGCATGCACGGAGAGAACATGTAAACTCCACCCAGAAAGGCCCCTGGACCGGGGTTTGACCCAAGGACCTGCTCGCTGAGAGGCAGCAGCTCTACCAGTTGCGCCACCGTGCTGCCCACTACCGTATGTGCATGCAAACTTGCTATATTTTTCCTTCTTCAAAAATACATTACACAACATGACTTTTAGGAAAGGAGCTTTTTATTTATTGTTGTTCTCACGTCTATCTTTCTGCTAGGCTTTTCTCAGCAAATGATCGGTGCAGATTTTGTGACCATATACCTAAGTCTTCTGCACCAAGAATCACAATCCTTGTTCTATTTACTCATCTTTTGCAAAACTACACACACACACACACACACACACACACACATATATATATATATATATATATATATATATATATATATATATAGGTTGTGATGACAGATTAAGAAAAATGGGAAGATGAAAGAGTGACAGATAAACAAGGACTGAAATAAAATGAAAATAAAAAGTAAAAGGAGGACAGAACGGACAGAGTGCACCAGACAAAGAAATGATTGGCATAAAACTCTGCAGCCGTGCCGCCTAGGCCCAATTAGAACGCCATTATGGAATCACTATAATAATGCATCATTTAGCACGCTGTATTTCTGCACTGGCCTCATCAAGTCTCACCATCACCGCGAGCCATTATTTCTTCTTCCTCCTGCGGCAGTGGACCTACACAAAGGACAAGAACAAAGGCTCTGTGTGGGTGATACCTTTTATTCTAAAGGCCGCCTTGCAGCTATGACTGGGAGCCTGCTCTCCAACCTGGAAAAAAGTTTCACTCTGCTGATAGTTTCAGCTCTACTTCTCCAAACTATGTTGTGTGTAACTAATGTATTGTTAATGCTTATTTGTTTCTGAAAACACAGACACAAACTTCTACCTGCAGAGCACTGGAGACCCCATTGAGTGGTCCATGAGATATTTTGCTAACACACTCAGGTATTTATATGGAAAATAATATGCTGCGATTATTGCTGCAAATGGTGCAAGTCAGTGATTCAACTTTTAAAGAAACTTTGTATATGGCGTCTATTTATGCAAATAAAATTGAGAAGCACTTTCGCCTTATTCACTAGTCTGAACAGAAAGTTAAATACGCCCCAAACAAGTCAGAAAGCATAAATTCAATACAGCTAAAACCAGACCAGACTCCAAATTGCATTTATGTCACCAGATCTCAGCTCGTTACCAGGTCAGCGTTGAGGGCCTGTGTTCACTCATATTTCTGTGGGGGTTGCTGACTTATTACACCAAGATATGCCACGAGGAGAGGACAAGCTAGGCCAGGGTGTTGTGCACCACAGAAGGCAGCCGAAAGTCACTGTGACTACGATACTTCAGTGGTCAGTGAGGAGGCAGCTGATGAGAAGAGTCAGTGACAAGCAGTCTCAGGCTTATCTCAAAGCCGTAAGTCTTTGTCCACCAAACATAGGTGGACAACACAAAACGCATCAGAAAATGGACAGAACACTGAACGTTTCTCACAAACTCCGCTTTGTAGAACTCATCTACAAGGACAGGAAGTTACAGACTGTTTTGACTACCATTGGATGTACAGGGATTTTTTACCCAAACTCTTAAACACAGGTGTCTCCTAAAGTGGGTTCAGGATTCCTGTGGTCTGCTGAGACCTTCTCAACACTATTTTGTAGCAGAACATTTCGTCAACTATAGTCTACTCTCAGATCTCAGCATGAATGAAAGTACCATGTGAAAATCCCCACCAACTTATTGTGGAAGAAATGGTAAGTAATGCAGTAAGACCCAGCTTGTTGATTTTTTACAATTTATTACAAATAAATGTTGAGCAGAAACCCCCCCAGAAATGGAACAGTTCCAAGCGTCAGAATATGTGTAACCAAAGACTGAAAAGCAACAACACTAAAATGGGTTGGAGGTTGGAGACCTGTGCATTGTAGTTAAGAGGGACTTGAAATGTCCACGACAATTCTGGGATTGTTTTGAGAGAAAATGTGTTGCACAAAGGTTTTTAAAATGTTCAAAACTCAAGCATCAAACTGTAAGTCTCTGTCGTACTTAAGGTAAGATATACTGTACCATAAAAGTATATACTGTAACTGCAAAAAATACCACTGTTGGGTGAAATTGGTATAAAAACATTGGCTAAAGAAAAAAAAAAGATAAATTTTGACTTACCGGTATTTGTTTTCAAAGGAATAAAGGCGACGGAGGGAAGGTGATGCTATGAAAATTGAGAAATGAGAAAAACCTGTGAGGTAAAAGACTTCAGAGCTAAAAATTATTTTACTTACAAACCCTGTATTAGAAAAGATAACAGGTTTGTTGGTAAGATTTGAGAAACTCGATGCCACTTCTCTTATCTGCCATGAACACAAAGAAGAAATGAGCTCTGGTGTATAATGGACTTGTACAGACTAGGAGAAGGCTACTCTGATTATCAGGAGCTGCATGAGTCAAACTCCCGGTGCACTGACAATATAAAATTACTCTACTGAGTGCTTTTGAGGCTGGTAATAAAAAAAAAAATTAAGCTCAATCAGCTGCTGAAAAAGAACATCAGCTAAAAGCCCTGCAGCGGTGCCTTAATTGTGTTAATCACTCCAAATGAATTTAATACGATGTATCTACAAAGATGATGCAAAGTGTCTGTGTGAGTGCAATATTATGAATAATTATTAACATAAAGGCTTCTGAAATACTTAGGTCATAAAAAGACTGAAAGTAAGGCATTTGTCTTTTTCTTCTTCTTCGCATGGCTTTGCTAACGAAGATCTTGGGTTGGGACTGTCCATGTCGCCAGCAAACGTGCTGGTGGTTGAAGAGGCCTATTCTGGAGAGGCAAATTTTGCCACAATGGCAAAAGGTCAATAAGGGTTGAAACAGGTGTGTCTTTGGTCTTTCTTCTGCTTCTCTTTTCCTCTGGGCTGCTGGTGGTTAAAAACTATTCTTTAAAAACATAATTTCCCATAATGCATTGTTACTTTTATGGAAATTATGTTTAGTGACATCCTCCTTAGTCAAGAGCATTGAAAACTGTGGCTTATTAAACTTGGCAGCAACTGAGACAGCACATGCACTGAAACATGAATATTGAGCATTACTCCAGTAGAAATGGACAGGTTTGGTTCAGATCTTTCAGCAGGAGGTTCTGGTTGTAAAGTGGATGCCAGTACCATCATGAAACAGGTTAAGGTCCAAATTGTGGCGGCTAACGCACAAGAGCTTCTGCAGGTAAATCAGTGGACGTAAAGGCTACGCTAACTAAGCTAACGGCTGTATCTGAATGATGGCAAGTTTTAGGGTTTATTTTCTCAGTTTTATTATTTTGATGGACGGCATATGTTGCTCTTGTTAACAATTTTTCTGGATTTATTTAGTTTTATGTTGCCATACTCGTTTAACGCACATTGAGCTATTCAGCCTGTGTTTGGTCTGTTGAATTACTCTGAGATGCTGACGTCATGCACCACAATATTCACTGCGTTTTTATGTTGTAGAGAATGACAGATAAATGCTTCAAGAAGTGCATAGGTAAACCAGGGAGCTCACTGGACAACTCAGAGCAGGTACAGTATGTGCATGTTGGAGTGATATCATTTTTGATGATTTAATATTCTGGAAATGTGGCTATTGTGTTGCTAAATGCATTGGTTTTGTAATAACCAAACAGCAGTTGTCTTGTACAATAATAGTTTTTTTTAAACCATTTTCATATAGTATTGCTCGTACTGTTTCTTTGCTAGACGTTTGTGTCAAAGTACATTAAATTCTTCACTTTTGCCTCCACAGAAATGTATTGTCATGTGTATGGACAGATATATGGATGCCTGGAACACCGTGTCCCAAACATACAACTCTAGATTGCAGAGGGAAAGAGGGCGCATGTGACCCGTCTGTAATTTTCTTCTTCTTTATATAGAACAGCTACTGAAAATAAGGACCAGCACAGTGCACCACTGGAGGCCCTGAACTGTGAACCCATGTACCACTGTATCTACCATCAGCAGCACATCAGCTCTGTCATAAAACCTCAGACAGAAAAGCAAGCAGACGAGGCCTGTGGACTCCTAGACATTTCTTTTATGACTCATCACCAATGAAGTGTAATTACTTTTATGTTATACATGCAACAACTCATCATCTACATGTCGTTTTTAAGCTGCACTCTGATATATGTTCCTAATTTTAAAATGTGTACCCAGAGGTGGAAAGAGTACTGAAAATTTGTACTCAAGTACAAGTACTGTTACACGCGTAAATTGTACTCAGTTATAAGTAAAAGTACTAGTGTTATAAAATACTTAAGTAAATGTACAAAGTACTCTTCTCAAAAACTACTCAGAGTATTAATTACTTTTTAACCAGTTTATGTTTTATTGTGTTGTCAGTAGAAGTCATTCAGTCCTTCTGCTGCAGGTGGGTGAGAGCAGTGTGGACCACAGAGGAGGTGGCGTCCTCTGTTGATCGATTCTTGCGGTATGCAAACTGGTGTGGGTCCTCGCTGATGTCGATGGAATTTTTGTGTATGTAAATGTTTTTGTACAGTGCCCTGAGATAGCTTCTGTTGTGACTTGGTGCCATGAAAATGAACTGAATTGAACTGAATTGAATTGTAGAAGCACTTGTATTCCCCCATGACTGCGTACAGCTGACATTAAAGTGAAAGTCACATACAATGCATTTGGCTCAACACAGCTTAGTTGTCCACATTTTAACCAAGAATGGATTATCCTTTTCTTGGAATGTAAATAAAGCCTGTACAGCATGTGAAGCTAAAACATGCATCTGAGACATACTGAGAAGAATCAGATGCCATTTTCTCACATTAAAATATTCAGTCAAGAGGTGTCCCCTTCTCCTCAGCCTGTAATTGTGCAGGACAGATGGATACAATCATTGTTGAAGAGTTCTTTTACAGAGCAGGTATTCTCTGCGTTTTCTCCATGCACCGCTGAGCGCCATAATTACTTCTGCATTTCAGGAGCCTGCTAAGCACCCACACAAGGAGGGGTATCACTTCCCCTTGACAGCTTCACATTTTACTCTCATGCATGTGCATCACAAGACATGAATTATTTCACATGTCTGCTTTGTAAAAAACATGCACACATGCATTTGAATTATTTCCTTGCCACATATTTAACATCTATCTGTAACCAATAAAGTTGTCATGACAGCTCATGTTTCTAAGCAGCCTGGCAGCCACTGGTTTCACTTATGACAGGTTGGTGGACAGGTTGATTAATCAGTGGACACGGCCTAAAAGGAGTCATTTGTCTCCTTGCGAAACAAAAAAAAAAAGCATTTGCTGTTAGGCAAAGAGGCTAAATTTACATTAATGAATTGTAATATAATGAAAGGACCACTTAGTTTAAACATTCCCCCTGAGCAGCAGCTAAAATGAGAAAATGTTTGCTTAGAAACTGTAACCAGGCACTACGAGTTGAGCTTTGGATTTCAAGTGATGTGCAAAAAAAATGAAGAAGCCACTATCAAGAATTAATTGGCCACAATAATGAGTTTTACCAAGAGCAAGTTGAACAGTTCTCAGGGAGAAATGTTCAGACTTGAGATACCTAAACTGACAAACAGCTACTGTTTATTATTTATCAGATACATCCTCCGATGAAAAAATGTATTTCTATTGTGGTCAGCCTTTCTTATTTAGGATTTTAAAAAATCAGACTTTCTAATGAGTGTTTATGTCATGGTTGCAAAAATAAGCAAATCTAAGTGCAGACCACAATCTATAGGCAGACATAGGGAATTAAAAAAATGTTTTTATGACAAAACAAAATCAAGGGTTGAATGTTTAAATCAAGAGCACAAACATGGCTAAAAGCATTTTTGTGTCATTTTTCGGCTTTGGTTTGAGACCCTGTTGTAATTAAATGGGCCTAGCATTAAAGGAATGCATATCACCCGCTACCTTTATTATAATCAGTTTGGTCATATCTTAAAAAACACATTTCATGCTATCCCACATCATGGCAAGATCTTACGCAGACCCAACCAATCTGTTAGCACTTAACATATGTTTGAGCTACTTTACAGCTAATACATGTAAGCTCTTTGCTTTAGTGTTGATTATTAGAGTCTGAAAAACCACAATCAACAACAAACATCAACAATCTTTTCTTAATCTCACATGTGAGACACTCCAGAACGCTGCTTTTTGTGCTAAACTAAACCTTAGGAAAGCTCTTGGGGTTCAGCGAGGAGGGAGATCAGAGGAATCTTCAGCTCCAGGTCATTCCCTCTGGTTAAATCAAAGCCTCTAACTCCTTTTCAGGATCTGATGAATGGTTTTCTGAGAGACTTCCTCAGTGTTTGCAAATATTGTTTCCATATTTTCCAGTAGCCTTAAAGAACCCATTTGGTCCTTAAAAAGCCTGCAGGAAAACAAGCTGTTGGTAAAAAAAACGAAAAACACCAAGTCGGTCACTTTCCTCAGATACTTTTCTGAAAGGAGGGGAATAATAACAGCTAACCTAAAAGGTTGAGGCAGTGCCCTCAATCAGTTCAGTTCTACTGCCACTTTATTTGGGACTTTAGTTGGTTGGCAGCACAGCTGACGCACTTAATGTCTTCTCACGTCCCCTCCACAGTCCTGAGGTGGAGCAGGTATTTTCAATCCCCATCCTGCAAAACCTTAGATTAACATTTTCTCATCGAGAAACTCTGATTTCTTTTTTTTTTTTTTTTTTTTTTTTTTTTTTTTTTTTTTTTTTTTTTTTGATGGCCTCCCTTCTCCCCTTACAGCCATCCTCTCCACACCATTATTATTAAATATTTATTATAGTGACATTCTAGTGT